CTTGTTTTTATGGTCATTAATTTAACCTTAATTCTTTATCTTCTGTTGGTCCCTTTAAGATGGATTTTAATAGACCATTTTGATACTTTTAAAAAAACCACTAAATTTTGTAATATGGCTACTAGGTTGCAGATAGGCTGTTAAATAGAAATGCATAATGATTTTTTTGCTTTGTGGCTTGTTTGGCTTTTTGATTACAGTGGTGCCAAATGCCAAAGCTGATGGAAGTTTGAAGTTCTTGTCACCCCTTAGCCCTTGATGAAGTTGAATTTATACTTGAGCTGTGCTATATATCCTTGATTCAAATGGATTTCTGGAACAGAAATTTTTCTAGGACATCCATGTGAGTCTCTTCTGGGTTTCTGAGGTTTCAGCCCTGAGTGAAGTGACCGTGACAAAATCCATCCTCTGGGGCTGGGGGTGGGAAGGAGCCTGGACTCCTTGTGCAATGAAAAGGAATTCAGTGAGAGGTGCCGATTTCTCTCCAAAGAGTTCGTTACGTTTCCTAGCAAAGGCCAGATACTTGTTCCTAAAAACTGTTAATTGGATTGAATATGCTTGCAAACAATCATGGGGATAGTAACAAAGAACCGGTGGAGCGGATGGACAATGCCTTCTTCTGAGCTTCAGGATAAATGACAGTCCCGTGCTCATTATGAACTGGTGGAGTGTTTCTCCATAGTTAAGGTTGCAACTGGATTGCCATTGTATTTTGTTTCATCAGGTTATTTGTTTTGTTGTATGAGAAAACTTGGATTTGAAGATGTCTTTTGTCAGCTAACTTTATTTTTAACAAAGCTTTTCTTGTGTGTTTTCAGTGCTAATTGAGGTCCATCAGTGGCTATATGATTTAATGGTCTTAATAGGAATCTATGAGCGCAAACAAAATGGAACGCTATTAATCACAGCATGTGCAGAGAAATGTAATTCTCTTTCTGTGGAGAGGTAAAGAACAAAATTACTGATCTGTATTATATTTCATACCCTGCAGGTCATCCAAAGAACTGAGATTTCAGATTTATCCACTTTTGTAGAATAATGTCACATAAATAAAGTATAAATATCAGTGACTTCTTTGTTTCCTTTGTGTGGCCATAACAAGTGCTGCTGTTTTTGGAGAGTTATAGCTGCTTACCATGCTTTCGCATGCTCACACACAGGTATACTGACAGTAATTTAGGTGAGCACTTTCGGTGGCAAATATTCTTGTAAAATAATTGAAGATAAGTTGTTTTTAAACTATCCATCTGCCTGTGATTCCGGTAACCAAGGTAACTTGCCCATGATATAATATGCAGATGCCTTACTTTTATTGGGACAGCCTACTTTTTATTTCATTGTCAGGTAGATGGCAACTGTGCAGAAATTTTTACATGAAGATGGTGAGAATTGCTGTGCAATTAGTGGTCTTGCTGGGGCATGTGGAATATTGTTCTATAATCTGTTTTCCAACATGCTATATTCTAGTGTATGGACTATAAAATCAATCTTTTCTCCTTTTGCCAGCAAGACAAGTTGTACATTTAAAAAAGAAATACAGGAAACGTATTCACAGACATACGGCACTAATGATTACAGCTGAATAGGTGTTATTTCACACCTTTTCTCTTTTGACCTTGTTAGCTAGAAAATGTAGGATGTCATCTCAAACTAATTGTACTGCTGGAGCGTAAGCATTTTAACTGGCTGAGGGATGTCTTTTGATGTACATAGAGATTTAATTATCAATATATCTTGACAGCATTTCAAGAATGGTAGAGAACAGAACAAGTATGCTATTTTTTATGCTATCATTGACATCTTCAAAGTCCATAGCGTGTTGACAATGCATAATATTATATAAAATTCCATTATGGGATATTGAGACTATCAAGACTCAGAATAAGTAAAAAAATATTGCAGAAGGAAGGAAGCTGTGGATGGCAGGTTATTTCTTCTTGAATAATATGTCAAGAAACTTATATTTTATTGCTGCGCTTTGCATCCTCCTGTTACCCTGTATGCAGAACTACCTACTGTATCTTGTGTGTTATTCCTTCCTGAAGGGACACCCATGCCTTGTGCGAAGATCAGTTGCTGAGGCTGTAAGCTGCTAACCCATCTTAGTCCAATGCTGTTTCCTGCTCTACACTTGGGATTTATGGAGCAGAAAGGCAGGCAATTGATCTAATGGAAAGCATGCAGAAAGTACCCAGTGTGGGGTGGATGGAAACAAATGTCTAAAGAGCAGAGAGAGCAGTTCTGGCTGCTGACTGGAGTCAGCTCCGACAGGGTACAGGGGGTGAGCAGGGCTTCCTTTAAAAAAACAAAGAACACTTTATCTTCAAGTAGATTGGAAGTTGTTTCTTTGGATTTGTATTTGCATTAGGAAGAACTGAAATTGCATATTAATGACATTATAAATTCATATTTGGAATACTTGGGATGGGAGAGTGGGGAAGAAACAAGTTAAAAAAAAATTAACAAAACCAAACCAAAAGAATTTTGAAAACCGAAGCAGCACAATTGCACTGGTTTAAGTGCTCTTAACTTTTGGTGTGTTTTAATGCTACATGTACACTCCTTGAAACAAAATGCAATAAACCTTCCTTCTGCCTTGTTTCTTTTGTTCCAATAGTGTTGTAAACCATTTAGGATTAACATTTGTAATCTGGTGCTACTTCCTGGATCGAAGTGTCACTGTGTAAAGCTTACATGTGTGCTTACTGTCATTCCTCATTACTTACATGTAAGTGGTAGTCCTGAGATGTTGGTATGCAGCTCTGCCTTGCCTTGCTCATGCTGCCTTGGTGTGGACAGGAAGGTCCTCTGCTTCAATTGCAAATATTTTGGTTTTAAGTATGTTTTAAACGCATAACCCTTTTTTTTTCACTGAAATGCTTTGATATGGTAATGATCAAAATATGGTGTGATTCCAAATGAGGTATACAAACTTTCTTGTTCTTGGCATGAAAATATTACTCTCTGGAAACACCTTCTGTGTCAAATGATGGATATGTTCCTGTGATTTATGTAAGTGATTGTCAGGAGGTTTTGTGGCTCATCCAATTTTAGCAGTCAAGTACTCTTTCCTTGTCACTTATGACATACTTGATGAATTTTCATGATTAGCTAATGTGCTTCGTAATTGTCAAAACTTTGCAATCGTATTCCTTAGAAATATTGAGAAGGGGGTAGTCAGCTCTGCCTCACAGTTTTTCTGTACAGCCACTTATTTTTTTCAGTTCTTTTTTATTTACCCTGTCTAGTAGTCTTTTGCAAATCTCTTGGTTTGCTGTGGTTAACTCTCAGATCCATGATTTGTTTGTTCTTTAGCAAACAACTCTGCTATTCTTGACTTGAGTGCAGTAATACCTTGGTGCAGGAATACTCCAGTTGTATTTAACAATTGTTTTGGTAGTAAGACACTGTGTTGCTGAGAATACGACACTGATATTATCCATGCTGTGTTTTATCACTTGGGTTTTCTAGAGAAATATTGATAAAAGTGTTTTTTTCCTCTACACACAACTTTTCCAGGTGCCTTAGACTCAATTTTGAGTCGATGTGCACCTCGTTGTTGCCTTGCTGTCCCTGTCATTGGTGAAGACACTCCAGAGACCTGTCGAGTATGTCCTTCCCGTCACCAGAGAGATGGAATTGTTTGTGATGCCTTTTACAAATCTTTAAATCTGTGATTCAGTAATTTCTGGCTTTGTGACTGGTGAGGTCCATAATGGCCAACCTCCGCCCCAGGTGGCGTGGCACTGGGGAAGGACCCCACCATTACAGGCAGCAAGGCCAGCACCTCCCTGCTGCTCTATCTCCCCCTGTCACTTATCTGTCTGCTGTGGCCGGTGATAAGGACAGTGCAAGAAACTGGGAAGGAAAGGAAAATGCACAGGAGCCTCGCGGCACCGCTTTGGGTCTCCTGCAGTTTGGGGAAGGGCAGAGAGGGCACAGCAGGGTTCACCTGGCTGGCTCCAGGGCCAGTGCTGGCGGGGAGGTGGGTGGCCATGCCGGTGCGTGATGAGTGCCTGTTGTTTCATGTCTCTGGGGAGAAGAGGGCCTCAGCCTGTGCCAGTGGTGCGTGGGGTGCTCCTGCCTCTGCTCAGAAGGCTGGAAAGCTCTGCGCCTATTCCTTAAGCCAAGCCCCCTCTGAGAGTGAAGGATTTCTCCCTAAAAGGCACAGGGATCCAGTTTATCTGCTGTGTCCCCCAGGCTGGCCAGGCAAACCTGCCGGGTACCCCCAGATGTCCCTCCCCAGCGCTGGGTGAGTGGGGGCATCGTGACTCTGCCGGGCTCTGACAAGTGCTGTGCGTTAACCAGGCTGTCGCTCAGAGCTCCTACGGGCAGATATTTAGAGATCCCTGTTTGATACACGACTCGCGTTTGAGGGGAGAATACATAAACTGCACCCTGTAAGGCTCTGGGGGTGTATTTTATCAGTCATTTTCCCTCCTACCTTCCATTTCAAACCTTCCTGTGAACTTGAATCCTCCCATTAATTTGCCTGAAGGAAATGTGAATCCACTCTTCTTGTATCTCATTATTGGCTCCTTGTTGCTGCAGGAGCATTTTATTGTCGAGGCAGCAGCTCTGGGTGTCTGGGGGAGGGTGTCAGGCTGCGCAGGCAGCTCAGCATCCATCGGGAGCTCTGTGGAAGTGAGACCAAGCAGTAAATGCTGCTGTCATAATGTGTTTGACCTGGGCCCTTGTATGTGCTAGGGACACCAAGAAGTTACTGGTGGTAGCAACTGGTGCAGTGTTGCTTGTCACTAAAAGAGTGTTAGGGGGTTTTCATCTCTTTTGCTTTTTCTTTTCCTGAGTGAAGTTTTGGAATTCAAGCCTTTGTCCTTGAAAAGACCCCACAAAAATAAAATCTCTCTGAGATGAGAAACTGGTGGATGTGCTTTCTGAATTGCTTACATAAATAACTAGAAAACTCATTTTCTTGTCTCTTCAAAGTATCGCAGCTCCGTATATCTGATGCGGTGCAGTGTTCCAGGCTTTCCCCCTGGGCCGTGCAAAGGCTGATGTGTAATTACGCCAGTCCGTTTCGAGGAAAGCTGCGATGGTAAGACCTGTTAAAATCTTTTGTGAATGAGAGAAAGTATTTATTCTACTGGGCTCTCCATAGTTTAGCCTGCTTCTCTGTATCCTCTTCCCCAAAATACACTGGGTGTTGGCACCTTTGAAATCTAGACCCCCAAAGCCCATGAATCTCATGGTGAAGTTGTTTGCTTTGCGGAGAAGGGGCACTAAAATGTTTTTAAAACTTGGAAAATGAATACTCAGAATGAAATTTGAAAATCAGTGTTCATAGTGGAAGTTCCTCAGCACTGCTATTACTAAATGATTGCTGATCAAAGGCTGTGACGTTTTTGCTGTTGGTTTAAGCAGGGATGGATCTGTGCCAGAGATGACTCCTGAAAATCTGACTCAGTTGTAGGTACGACATTATAAGAGTTATAATGATAAAGTGAAGAGGAATGGGGAGCATTTTAAAGAATGCAGAGCAATTACCAGGGAACAAATAGTAAAAGCTTTCTAAAAACCCCTAAACTGAACCTTGCTTTTGATGCACTTTACTGCAGATGCCATTTTAAAAGCTGACATTTTAGCAAAGGAGGGAGCAAAGCCCCCTCCCTGTAGGTGAGTTCAGCATCTAAAGTTGTTTGAGAAGAACTTGAAATTTAAAAAAACCCCAAAATTAGTGTTAAAGAGATTTTCTCATTTTTCTATTTAAAGGCTTAGCTGCATTAACAAAGTGGTCCGACAGCTCTGTAGCACTCAGTAGACACCCACTGACATGTATACATACCCATGCACTGCATCAAAGCCTTTCTGTTTCTCCCTGCCTGTGAGCCCCCCCAAGGCCAGAAGGCAGGACAGGCTGCCTGACGCAGGAATCCGTCACCTTGGCATTTAGGCAGTCACTCGCTGCAGCGAGGCTTCAGAGGGAGCTTTCTGGTTGCCTCTAAATTCCTGGATAATTCCTAAAAAGCCCGCTAGCCGAGCAATTGATCGCAGAGCTGCTATCAAGCAAATTCCTGGATGACACCCGGTGTCGGGTTCCCATCTGCGTTTCCTCTTTCTGCCCTGCATGAAGGTGTCCAGGGCCGGGCGTGTGCGGGCACGCCGAGCTCCGTCTGCAGCCGCTCCCTCCTGCCCGGCTGGAACGGGTGACCCGTGGCTGTCCTGTGGCTTGTTGCTAACACGGAGCTGACAGTAATATTGACGAGCGGTGGTTGCACTGAGCTGGAATATCCGAGGCTGGTAATATTTATGGCTGCATTAAACCCCACAGCCTGCAGCAGCCTGCCCACTCTGCTCTCTGTGCTGCATTCCCACCCGCTTCAGATGTGTTTCCAGCAGTGCATTTCCGATGCATTAGTGCGTGTGTGTACATGTGTGCATGTGCATGTATTAATCTCCAAAGTGGTAATTTCCAGTGGAGATTTAATCTCCAGTTTGCTTTGTAAGGAGCTGTCTGTCTGGAGAGTAAATTCGAGCCTTTTTTTCCGTCAGGTCACATGCAGGGCAGCCAGCCAGCATGGATTTTCCTAGTTGTGCTATACAGGTGACCTAAATCTTTTTACCTGACAGGGTTTTCCTTCTCAGCAGTGACACATATGTGATCCTTCTCTGCTCAAGCCTAGATTTCTGTCTTGAACAGACATTAGCAAATTTGTCTGTGTAGCTTTTGCATTTTTATGCTGGTACCGTTTTGTGGCCTGGACCTTATAGCTCCTCAAGGACTGAGCTGAGATCAGCAGTTGTGTGTTTATTTATTGTCCTTCCTCCAGCAAAGCACTGTGAATGGTGTTTAATCTACAGCTGTTATATCACTTGGCTGTCCCTGTTCTCTTCCCATTTCTTACTGAGTTTGATCTTGTATTACATGAATTGCAGTATATATTAAAATATCTAGGTGCTTTATGCAGGCAAACATTGTATTACGGGCCATGACCATACGGGAAGTTGGAATTTTCCCTGAATGTTCGTAATGGTGAAGTTGGCCCTTGAGCGTGGTTTTGCCCATCATGATCACCACAGCAGCTGATAAAACTCTTGTGTAAAATTTCATTAAGATGATAGCATTGTGAAGGGTAGGGCTGTTACAGAATATTCTTCTTCTCAGTTGTATGATATAAAGTGAGATTAAAGCTAAGTGAAATTTCTGACCAGTACAAGAAAAATGTCAATCACAAAAAAGACATTCACCAGTTTTTAAGAGCAAGGTTTGTTGCTGGAAAATGTGGATAAGCAAAACAAGTTAGTGCTTATGAAAGAAATAAATTAGATTTTTGTAATCTAGATGAAATTAATTTGATTTTTCTAATGCTCACAAAGTCAGCTTCCTAAATGATATTAATCGACACTGCACAGGAGAATCACTCAGTTTTCCCACTAACTAGAGCAGCTGTGACCTGGGTCACGGCACCAACATCTCCAGTCAGGGGGCACCAATGTCGCCAGTTAAGGGATGTGATAAGAGATGGGATGTGAAGAAAGATAAGAACAGTGCTGTGCTCTTCTAGGTGAGACTGTTAACATTCTTTGTTGGGAGCCAAGCTTGAAGGGGTGAGGTACCTCATTCTGAGAATACATGCAAATGATATCAGGGGTTTATTGATAATGATAGTTCCTCTCCTTCCCTCACTTTCTCTGATTTATTTATCTGTGTGCAGGTATGGAGGATTCATGTAAAAGCTGTGATGCAAACAACTCAGTGTCCATATTTTGAACAACTGTTGTGTTCAGAAAGTAACATTTTTCTCTCCTGTTTTTGCGCAAATGGCTAGAAGGAATCTTTTGGATTTTTTCACTAAAGCATTATTTTTTTCCTGGATTATCTTCAGAAGAAGTTTTGAATTCTGTCCTTCCATGTAGTCCTCAACATCTCTGTCCTTTGACTCTCACTTGCAAACTCCTCCTGGCTAACCGGATGGTGTCACCTGGATTTGGCCTGGGGTTCCTTGCATGTGAAAGGATCCTTGCTGTGTCCTTGCTGGGCAGTGTCAATGTGGTTTAGGACCTCTCCAGGTGGAGGAGCCAGGAAAGTGGAGGCAAATCAGTGTCCCTCGGTAAAGTCAAAGCACATACATTAAAATGTGAATGGTTTCATCCAGGTGTGAAATGGCTTTTAGAAGTGCGGCAGGGAGGGGAAGTGGTGGGAATTTGGTTTCACAGTTTTGTAGGGCTGTCAGCTTGTGCCCTTTAGAAATCTCTCTTAGATCTTGTTTTACATGAAGGCGGTTGAAATCTTAACAGACAATCATTAACATCCATAAGCTTAATAAGTACCTATTTACATCACTAAGCTAAATGTATGATCTGAAGAGCAGGCACTAGAGAAAAATGTGAAAAATGACAAAAAGAGATCTGGGGTCTCTCTGCTATTGGTTATTCAGTGGTTCAGCTTGTAGCCATGCCATCAGGTGCTGAAATGCTGAATTTCAGTCTGGGAGCTACAGTGATGGGCTGGATCCCCTGGGTGGTGAAGGTGGGTCTGTGCTGCTGAGTCAGCTGCAGAGGGCTTGACCCGGCTGGGGGTCTCGGGCCGATCAGTGGGATGGCCGAGGCGGTACGGCAGAGCCGGATGAGTCAGGCAGGCAGAGTGCCCATCCTGCTGCAAGTTAATGACCATCTGCTACAAGAAAGTCTCAAGAGGTGGTATCCAGAGTGACAGTTTACATTCAGGAAGTTCTTACCAATTAAGGGCTTTCTTTTTAATGAAAGTTTGCTTTTGCACAGTGAATGATTTATGGCAGGGTTTAAAATGTATTGCTTTGACTATGCCTACACGCTTTGAACACTCTAAATAAAATCAGAAACCTTTGAAACAAACTCATAAATATTGTCTGAGCATTCAGAATATATTGCCTTCTGGAGGATGTGTAATGTAGTTTATCACCAAGCAGTTACAGGAAGATATTTAAACTATGTAGACATTGTTGCTTAAACCCCTAGTAATATAATTACTCCATTAGTTACCGAATCCTGAAATAACCTTGAGCCCCTGAGATCTGAAGTAGTTAATGCCAGGGGGCACATGTTGTATTTTAAACAAAGCAAGCAATTTTAAGCAAGGATTAGTTACTTGTCTTTTGTCTAATGCTTTGCAGTTGTATATTTGAAAAAGAAATTCGTATTTTCTGTCTACTCAGATAATACAGTGAAATTTCTTACTGGATTTTGGAACCATAATATTTCCTAATGAAACACAGATAAGGAGAAGCTTCCCCCCAAGTAATTTGAAGGCCTCAGCCCTTTTGTTAGAGAGAGATATGTCACCCTAAAACAAATCTGGCATGTAGTAGAACAGTCAGCCAGTGCTCTCTGGGATGGAAAACCAGCACTAGTCACCTTACTGGTGGACCAGTAGATGGCAAGTCATCGGGAATGTCCACACAAACCAGATTTATGTATGTAAAACGGATTACTGCCTTGGAAGATATGCACCCTCCAAAGTCGGGTGCTTGGGATGTAGAGGTAATTTTTTTTTTTTTTAAAACAAGCAGGGAAAGACGGAGGTTATTGGTATAGGAGGAGGCGGTGAATTCTCTGTTGCTGTAACTGCCAGTGGGTGCTCATTCTCAGTTTCACAAACGTTTCCTGTGTGTTTTGTACAATATGGAGTGGGAGTCGGTAGCTGGGCAGCCTGTGCAGGTGTTTCTGTTCACAGCATCAGTATTGCAGCACTACTAGCTAGTGTGACATCACGAACATCCATGTGGGTCCCCTGTGTAGTTTTAATAATTAAGCATTTAGGTGCTTAAATCCTCGTTTGTGTTCCTGGGAGAGTTTGGGCACGCAACACCTGACTGGCTGCAACACATCGGACCCGTTGGTGGTTGCCAACCTGCTCTGGCCTCAGGGTGGTTGCGTGACACCCCCCACCCCCCCCAAATGATTTTTGATCTTGTCAGAATTGGGCCCTCCAGACATGGATCCTTCTTTTTTTGACTACTCGGGGGCATGAGACTGGGCCAGAAAACAGCCTGGAACTAGTAACTGGATAATTTCCTTAGTTTCCCTTTGACTTGATCCCTCCATTCCCATGCTGGTCCT